ATAAGTGTGAGCGCAGGTATATAAGAGCCACGACACAGCGGAGTGGAATTAATTGCAAGTCAGCAAGCTACAAGTAAAGTGAGCAGAGAAGCGAATTGCGAATAAGCAAGCTATAAGTTTAATTGTGTGTAACAAGTTCAGTAAAGCGTTGTAATTGCCTTAACAAGTATTGTAGTATTTTTACTGTATTAGCAAGTATTGTAAAATTGTTTGTTGTACAATAAAGTTAATTGTACTAACTACAATTCGGTCATCGTTAGCATTTATTTAACAATCCAGCGATACGAGCCGGAGTATATTTGGGAAATCCCTCAAGGTTTCGAGGATAATCGTAACAATACATTTGGATACAATTTTCGATTTTTTATGGATACCATAAAGGTTAAGGCAGTGCCAACACTGTCAGAAAATCGGTTCTTATTCTCAGATGCTGCCACCTGCCTAAAATAGGTGACATTTTTAGCAAATTCTAATAATTTTTGTGATAAGGAATATCACAATTTGAATAACCTTTATCATAAACAAAATATTATTCTATGCATATTTGGACTATGATAGAACTATTCTAGATCACGCTATATCTATGACATTTATCACCAATCTAGCAATTGTTTTATGTTAGATCAGTTTGGCAACGCCGCGTAATTGTCGAGTTTGTTTCGGCTGCGGTAGTGGTTCCATCGTTCAGTTTTTTCGCGCAAACCGTTTCTGTAAAATTTCGCGTAAACATGTTAAAAATTAAGACAAATGTAATATTGGATAATTTAAAATGCGTTCGCTTGCAACGTTAAATGTTTTAATTATATGCAAAAAGTGAAAATCACGTGACAAAATTCATTACAAGGCCGCTTTGGTAAAGGGGCGAGAAAATTTTTTCTAATTGGAAGTTGCAGTAAGCAGGCAAATCGGTGCCGTGAATGTGAAAAGTGTAAAGAAAGTGATAAAGGAATGGAGAATCTGAGATTATTGCAATAATAATAATCGGTCAAAGTGTAAGAAATCGGGTAGCGCGAGTATTTTACTCCATCAAATTCAAAAGAAATGTAGTATGTGAATTGTTTATTTAATAAAATGTCTTATGGGAAAGGCGAAATTTGTGAACTAATTGGAAAATACTAAATGCACATAACCTGCTCGTTGCTTGAGCCGCCTCCCTTTTTGGTGGAGCGCCACCGACTCCATCTGCTCATTGTCAACTCATGCCACCAGCAGTGCGATATAAGCAGTAGAAGTATCAGCAAAAAAATTAGTAATACCAGCAGCAGTTGTAAGCTGCATACGTATCAACGGCGGTCAATTAAAAATTAAGGGACTACAACTCCTTAAATGTGAAGTCCTTGTCCCACGCACTGCAAAAGGATACACACGAAGGGAGGAGATATATAATCTTCAGTAAAAAACATCTAAATCACAAAAACAAAAAAATGTCAGAACTGCATCGACAACAAAACAATTTACCCCTCATGGTAGCCCAATTGGGTAAACAATGGACGCCCTCAGCCCTGCAATATAAAAAGAAAAAAAATTGGAAAACGCTATCTCGGATAACGGTTTCAGTAACTTTGCTGTTATTACTGGACATCCAACTGACGCCAATTTCTGGTAGGTACAGTGCTGTATGCATCACTTTCAGTATTTAAACAGCATTCCTTCTAGCCACACCCATCGAATATGTGCTAAATACTACGAGCAACTCGCAATATGTGGACGCCGCAGGAAATAAGTGGATGTCACCAGTTCTATCGCATAATAATAATAGTAATAGCCTCTCTCGTGGTAGTGCTCGAAAAGGATATGATCGCCATCAGGACAATGCAATAGAAGCATCTGTGCCATCATCCCTAGCGGCATCTGTGTCATCAGGTAGTTTGAGTACCACAAACAACTTTTCAAGTCACGAGAATACGCTGGTGGTAGTGCCACATCCGACAACTGCACCAACGCCACCTATACACATGCTCAGTGGACACAACAGTAACAATAACAAGCGAGAGAGTAAGCAAATGTTGGAATCAAATTTTATTTTTAAATATTTTCTGTGCCTTTCCATCCCAACTGCATTATTTAACGACTCCGTTTGTGGGTATTTTAAACATTAACAACAAGGAATGCATTGCTTAGCCTTAATCTTATTTCCACAGTCACACTGCCAGAATGGCTTCAGTTTTTATCGCATTTTAGTAGCTTTCGCTTCAAAAAGTTGTCATACTCTAATCATCCAATAGGCTAAAGGAAATTGTAGGAGTCGAAAAAAATCATAAAATCTTTGAAAATATATAAAATATTTTCTTGAAATACCAGTTACTCGCATTTACATTGAAGAAGACAATTCGAAGACCCCTATCTAACATGTTTCTTTACGAAGTGATTAAAAACTTCTTACGCCTTGAGTTTTTCAGTTACGAATGTTTTTCCGCAGTTTATTTTTATTGAAGACTCAATATTTTACTGTAGTAATCTACCGACTTAAGTAAAAGGCTGGATTTGGAAAGGAAATTAGTAGCGCATTCGAATATTTAAGTAACAGTGCACTTTCGTACCGCCCATTAGATAACTCGCGTTAAGGAAAAGTTGTTGCTAACTTAAATCCATGCGCCCACCAATTTAATTGTATTCTAATAATAGCAACATAGAACCCAAAATATGTGCATTGCATGCTTCTGTGTAAAAAGCTCCAGATTATTACATTCATAATATTTACCACTCAAAATACACCAAACGGCGCTGATATGAACACGAGAACACGCTGTTTAGCCCATTCTCCCTTCGTTGCAAAAATTTTTGGTAGAGCTACTCATGTTTATCTAAAGTATCTATGCGATATTAGCATTTTCCTGCACGCCAAGTGGGTTCCATGAATAGCCAATCAAAAACGTATGTAGTGATTCTCAAGCGAATGGCTAAGGGACTACCGTCATAATCGTGGTGTTGATATGACAATCATCCGAGTGCATTGAGCTTCAGAATACCTGTTGTAGTTTTGTAACTGAGTTTGCATGTATAACTTTCTGCCATTTATTTTGTACACGCTTTTCAACTCATTCCTTTACTTATCGTATAGCTGTTTTTGAAGTGAACTTGCACATGAGAGCTACTAATGCTTTATTTTGCAATTAAAAAGCAAATTCACACTATAAGTTGTTTCAGTTAACAAAGTGTAGCGAGAATTCAAGCGTTACCTAATTATTTGTCTGTATATCTGATATGCGGTTGCATTTAAGAGTGTTAAAAAAAGGCGGGGAAAAGAGCCTCTGAAAACTTATACCAACCCCTCTTGCATGCATAGTGGCTTCCACACGCTCGATGTTGGAAAGTGCAATATACCTCACTAGTAAAGAGCGTGTCAGACGTGGCAATATTTCCAGCTGTCCACGTAAACCGCTGTCAAATTGAGAAAGAGACATTTTATTTCGATGTGTGAACAGGCATAAAGACCTTTCTGTCACATTTCGGAAATCAGTTTCAGAAATAAAAGTTGCAAGTTGTGACTCTCAATTGCAGGGCAAATCGATTTCGGAAATATATTTCAAGTTGCTCGTGCTGCACTAGCAATCTGCAAATCGTCTTTCGGAAATAAAAAAAACCTCTTTCGATAGACATTTTAATTGCAAAGTGTGACTGCTCATGCAACTGCTTTCTGAAATTTCTCAATTTGACAGCCTTTTCGAAATATATTGCATACGAAATATATTGCCACGTCTGACACGCTCTTAACTTTGTTTGTATACATGTACATATGTATGTAAAGATGAATGTTCATACGTATATACGTATTAAAGTGGTCCAAAAATGTATGTAAAAAAAA